AAGCAACACAGAGCAGATCACACTGGCAGGAAGTCAGACACAGAAACAGCATAGAGAATCCGGTCAGTTTTCAAAATAAAATGTGCAGACTCTGGATTGAATGTCGCGCTACATCAACACTGAGGCACTAAACCGGAGTCAGAGGACATTTGTAGCAGAGAAAGAAACTGTTTGTTTCCTTAAGGACAAAATACCCAAGTAAACAACATCAGGTAGGTAACATTCTCTGAAGATGCTCTGCAGACCCAAAATCATAATCCGTGCCCGGTGGAATTTCGGTGGTTAGGCCTGAAAAGCATGCAGGAGAAGAAAGAGGACTCATCTGTAATGATGACAGTTTTTTAGGTCTGGTTTGATTTACAGCTTTCACATCAACTCAAACAAACACCAGAGTTCATTTGAACCAAAACAAACAGGTTAGTGTGAAAGCACCCTCAGCCAGACAAACCACTAGGTATTTTGTTTTAAAATCATGAGTCATTTCCTTGATGCCAAACAATTCTGTCACCAAATGATGTGCTATTTCGAACAAACGTGTACTTGCTTCGATAGAGACGTTAAACCTGACATTAAATAACAAAAATCAAAAGACTGGAAGCTGAACCAAAGGGAGACAGAGAAGCTTTTTTATGTGACTGCCATGACAGTTTCCCACACAAAGGAAATCCTCCATGCGGAGAAATACTTTTCACTCAGCACCGCTGACGGTGGTCCAGGGGTCTGCTGACAAAGAGCCGAGGCGGGGGTTTGTTCATGGCTTTGACTCAGAGTTCACAGTTTTGTACAGGGGTGTGATACAGGAGACAAGGAACTCCCAGAGGGTCTTTATAGAGTCCCAAATGGTCCTCAGACATATAGTGTAATGTCACTATAAGTTTCCTTTTATGTCTCCCAGGAAATTTTACCTTCCAGCTGACATGAATGTGCCCCATGGGATTAGTTTTATGAGGTACTGGGGTTTGGTGTTTGACAGTTTGTCAGAGCCAGCAGAGGTCACGTACTGCGAGTTGAGCTGCTCTCATTGGCTGCTCTTGGATTGGAAACAATGGCGGCCTGCCTGGTCACACACGATCTGGTATTCCAGATAAACAGTCAAATCTGTTTGTGAACAGATTTGAGGAGAGAAATAGTCAACGCAGTCAACAGAATCTGGATCTATGGAGCATTTTTGTTCTATTTAGGCTTTTAAACTATTTAAAACCAAAATATTAGTTTATGTCATTTGATAATCTGTAGATTATATAGATTATAGCTGCTTTAACTAAGAAAATTATTGTTTTTTTGGTCATTATTACCTTACCACAACTCTGTCCTATGTAACCTCTCAAACTACAAACTATTAACAACAAAATGAACAGTTTGCTTGCAACGATGGTGATTCACGAATTGAATCTTCAACAGTGGCACTCATTATCATTCACTCTGGGTAACAGCATGAGCCAAGTGTGTGAAATGTTAATGGAAATATAGATGTAGTTTCTTCTACAGTTTTTGCATAATGGGAGGCACACAACTCTTCCCCTGAGACCTCTTACCCTGAGAGAATGAACCGCAGAGAGCTGCAGGCGTGGAGCTACAAGCAAATAAGATGGTCCAGAGGCTCAGTCTTCAGTCTTCAGAAGCAATCTCTGTCCCTTCTTTAGCCTTGCAAGAATAAAGAAAAGTGGTGGGGGTGGACTCTGACGCATTTCCATGGGCACATTAATGGCTGCAAGGGCAAACCCTCAGTTAGACACTTGGGGATCAACTGGGTGGATAGATATATTCATTTTGGTTTTATTCATTTATTTTTTTAGAGTTTCTCACCTATCCACTTAGGCCCTCGTTTTTCTAGAGGTCTGGCAAAATATAAAGGAAAAGGTGCCAGGTTAAGACGTAACCAAGGTACCCACTTAAGCCTTAATATAATTTAAAGGGGTGAGCTTTGCAAAAGAATTCACCTCCCCCCGCCATACAGTTGTTATGAATGGGGAAATTAGCTCTAGGCTGTAAACATGTTTATTTCTACTGTAAAGTTGGACAGTTTAATATGGGGCCTTATGGAGATTGACTCACTGCTGGAGTCCGCCTCTAGTGGTCGTTAGAGGAACTGTCGCCTTTGACGCTTGTCATGTAACGTATGACACACATTTTAGTTGACAAAAGAGCCACAGGTTGCTTTCCATGCTACAGAGGCTTGTTTTGTAAAAGCAATCAAACACTTGCTTTCTGTGTCAACTCTTCAGTTAAACAGAACACAGAGTACTGCAGGAACCAAGCACCAGAAACGTGACTTTCAGAACAGCCACCTGCGAGCACCAGTGCAATTTCAACAACATGATATTCTGGTCAGTTCAGTTCAGCTTTCAAGCGTCTGCTGTGAACAGCTAGATTGACTGACATGGCGGAAATGAAAGTGGAGCATTTAAAATGTTTTTCTGTTCCGCTTCACATCTGGTTAACCCACTCTGAAGTGCCGTACCAAAGCTACTAACTGTCGAATTTCTAACTAAATATGCACCTATAGGTTTATGCAGGCGATGTGAGTGAGGGGCTAAAACACAGTAAACCTTTTTTCAGGACAACAGGGATTATTTACCGGATATTTGGTCATTTTAATCTATTTCCAGGTGAACATGAACCAGTTTTGGAGTCTATATGTTGGTTCATTTTATGACAAACCCAGGTCTTCTGAATGCTCCGAGGATGATGATGATGCTCCACTTTTATGTGATAGTTTGAGGAGGATTGAGCCTCAGAGTTGTGCTTTCAAACCCTCGTCACTGCTGGTTTGTTGGACACAATGGTTCCACGGCAGCACAGGGCTGTTTTGCATTGTCAATATCTCCAGCAAACAGTGGGTTCAGCTATTTTTATTTTTTTCTTCGACTTGGCCCTCAAAAATGCAGTGCTGATAAAATTCTCTTTTTGGCATTGGCTGCCTCAAGAGGCTCTCTTGAGGAGGAGGAGAAAAACAGGCGCAAGTGAGCATGACCGACCCTGCTGAGTGGGAGGGAAGCTCAGCAGGAGGGTTGAGGGGGGGAAAATCATCTGTATCCTTTTCCTTTTTTACACATTTCCATTTCGAAGGACCCCCCAGTGGCTCTGTCTTTCACAGGAAGCAGGCCGGCCGAATGCGGCTCTCGCCTGGCCTGTGACTCAGGCGGTCTGTGGAGCCACTAAGAGATGTTTTCAGGTGTTAATATGGTTTTAACGCAAAACTGATGTTTATATGAACTGCTCATACTGTAATACTGTTATGAAGTCAGGGAAATGAGCAACAAAACACAAAACAGAAATAAAAGAGCTTATCATGAGGCAGCGGTGAGAGAGAGAGCGGAAGAAAGGGATTGATGGTGTCTCCGAGACAGAAGCAGAAGAAGAAGGATGGAGCTGCAAGAGGGGGTGTGGTGAAGCAATGGGCTGTTTACCTGGAAGGCCTGCCACAGCTGATCAGCCAGAGCACTGATCTGAGAGAGCATGTGACGAATGAGAAAAGACTTTGACATGCTGCTGCTCCCCAGCGTGATCAGGTACTCCATCAGCTTCTCTGCAGCCCGGAGCTGAGGGTTGGAAAAACAAGACTTTAATAACCTTATTTTTACTAAACACCAACAAAATCTGTAAATCAACTGATTCTGATTCTACCAGTCACAAACTTGACTGTGAATGACATAACAGTGCGTGTATGAAAGACGACAGGGTGAACACAATCAGTTTAAGGCTACGAGGCGAGCTGCTGCTAACGTTAGCT